TTTCTTAGTTTGCTGCTCTGAACTGACTGAAAATTAAGTGGAACATACAAAAGTTTACTTCTACATAAAGTCTGCTATGATTTGGACTTTATTGATTTCTTCTAGCAAGGGCCACAACCCTTGCCAGAGATAGCCTGCAGATAATCAGGATATTGTAATACACCAGAGTAATCAGGAATGAGCTGAACACACCTCAGTGTGTTGGGGTTTGCAGCCTTCATTTATAAAGCAGTAGAAATGTGCAGAGAACATGTAGAAAAGAAACAAATTTCTATTTTCAAGTTACCATGCAGTAAGTAAAATCAACTGTGATTTATTTCCTTTTATGACGATACCTTTAACTCTAGTGCTGTAAAACATCAGTGTTTATAGTACAGAAGTTCTTCATCTATCACACATGCTCTGCTATTCTTAGCTCAATGATAAACAGTTTCTATGAATGCCCAGTTTTCAGTAAAGTGAATGGTTTCTCTTTCCCAAGCAAGACCAAATAAAATAGAATTTTATAGTATCTATGTAGAATGTGTCTGCTTTCCAAGTAGAAACCTGATTTGTTAGGCATGATTTAAAAATCCACTAGAACACATCATGTGTGGTTTTTTATTATTCTGTATTTTATGAGTATTGACTTTAGTCTTCTACTTCACCTGGAGCAAATTCTCCACCTTCCAATGGAGGCACCTGAAGCACACAATGCCTCCAAAGGAAATTTCTGATTTTTAGATAAATTGATGAAAGATAACCCTAAACTAAACATTAATGTTTCCCCTACACATCCAAGGGAAAAGGTCCCAATAATTTTAAAATATTTAAAATCTTCTACTTGTCTTTTGTGAAAATTTAAAATTTAAGATAAGCATTCTTGAGGGAAATAGCTGTTAATGTAGAATATTTGGAATCTAGTCCTATTAAAATGCTAGAAAAGCAGTGTTTACAGGGGCAAAATTCACAGCTGGTCCTTACAAACCACATACATATGCAAGGAGTGGGTGGGAGTAGGAGGGAGCATAGCAAGGGCCTACCTAATTTTAGGTGCCAGCCTCATGATAAGAGCTGCCATATGTTAAAGGTGAGCACAGTGGGAGGATGGAAGAGATTAACTAGAATGGGTTTTCTGGGGAAAAATGAGTGTGTCCCAGCTATGGGGTTTTATGCTGTTCTTGTGTGATTCTAAACTAGCAGGGTGAAACCACTGATTAGCAGATATGGTGCCTCTCTGGGAGGGCAGTTCTGCACAGACTCTTTATCCTCTTTGAAAATCAAACTCAGAAATTCCTAATTCACAAAATCAGTTCAGTGGTAGAATGAATAGACATTGTTTACACTGCTGGATTTTAGTGCTAGATCATACAGCAAAAGTGAGATTTTTTCCTAGTGGTGGTTGGTTACAACACTTTGTAAACTCTTTTAACACCTGAACTAAGCCTGTGCAAAACCAGCCACATGAAAACTGAAATGAATAAGTGAATAAATGAATAAAATTGAAAGTGAATAAGATGGCCTTTCCCCTATTTACAAAACTTTTCCCATCCTAATGCTTCCCAGCTGACTGTAAGTGCTCTCACACTCATCTGGCTGTAGGTGATACTTTATGAGGGCTCATTAGCCCCTTTGTTTTTCTGGGACTTACAGATTAAATGCCTCTTTGGGACAGAAATTTCTATTAAAAAATCAGTAACTTTAAAAATGCCTTCATCAATCATCTGACAAATAAAATTCATTAATGAACCTTTTTACCCTGTTACATGGAGTCTCTTCAGTGCACAGCTCCTCCAAGTTCAAGACAGAGAATAGAAAAATGGGGGACAATCCAGAGGAGGGTCACCAAGATGATGAGAGGGCTGGAGAACTTGGCACATGAAGAAATGTTGAAGGAATTGGGTTTGTTCAGCCCACTCTTCTCATGAAGACGTTGGGCACAGACAAGAAGTAATGAGCACAAGTTGCTTCAGGGGAAATGTTGTCTATATTAACAAAATATTCTTCACTGTGAGGATAACTTTGGAATGGGATACCCAGCATAAAAAGGATTGAAATTCCAAATGTAAAGTAGTGAGGAAACAGGTACCAGTGCTTAATTTGTCTTGATGGGGCATGAATCTGGTGCCATGTGTGAGTGACTGGTGGTATTGCTACGTAAAAATACAACAGTGCTTGTCCTCTCTGTTACTTTAAAGTTATCTTAAAACATATCTGGGCCCAAATTCCACCTTTACTGCCTGGCAGGAGGGAAGTTACATTTGCAATGAAGCTGCTCCCTATCTGCTGTTGTATTTTTTGTCCTTCTGATAACTGTTAGTTTATTTTATTTTAGTAAGACACTTGAACTTGCTTTTATCCCAGTGCACACTGAGCTGTAACTCAGAGAGCCTTCCATTCCAGTTTGCTATTCCATGGTAAAGCTGTACAAATGAGCTTAATGTTCAGCCCAGGCTCAGCTTAGTTTTAGCAGTCTAAGTTTTTGCAGGGTGGTTTCTCACACTTGCAGCATTGACTAGTCCTGAAATCTGGTTGATTGAAAATAATTTACTGAGGCTGAAATGATTTGCTGGATAAAAGTGGTGATTTCAAAAGTTGTCCTAAGGTCAGGATTCACGGACAAAACTTTCCCTGGTGGGTACAGGGAGCTGCTCAGCCCCATGTAAATGTTTTATTCATGTCACTTATTCACATAAGGGGGTTTCACTTTAGTGTGTAACACAAGCCAGCTGGTTTGCTTCTTTTAAACTCTGATTTCTCATGCACCTCATATTGCTACACCCCTTCGGAGATATTTATGGAAATTTCACAGCAAGCTGTCTCAAGCTTATGTGCTATTAAGATTCCTTTCTGGGGTGTTTACTGCATTAGATTTATAATGTATAGATTTATGAACTCGGCTACTTGATGGCCCAATAAAGCATGTTAGAACTGAAGGCAACTGCTAATTAAAATAGTATTTGATTGTATATTTGTGTACAGGGAAGTGGGCTAGTGTTGAAATACTCTTAAGCCCCTCATGGCTTTGGCTGGGCTAAAAATGAATGAAAGGATCCTAAAGTAGAATAAAAGGATTGACATTCATAGCCAAAGAGAACAAGAAGGTTACAGCATTAGTACCAGGGCTGTGAAGTATCAACTATTCTGATAATCCCCATTTAAACAATTAAGATTAAATCCTACTGGAAAGGATCACCTGATAAAATGGCCCCTCAAGCTAAGTTCCTTCTAGAAAAAGGGTATTTTCAATGTGGGTTTTCACCCTGAAATCTCCACCATTTGGTGTTAGAAACAAGGGACTGTGCAAGCTGTGCTCCTTGCTCCAAACACTTCACTTTGACAGCTGACTTCATATACATTACACAGTGTAGTAAGAGGTATGGATTGCCAGGCATGCAAACAGCCTGGCTTACACTCTGCAAAGGCATTTGGAAACAGTGATGAAAGCAAAACAAGGAAATAGTTAAAAATAATATTAATTACCATGATGTGTTATTGAAATGCCCAGTTAATTCCATTTTAATGAGCTGCATTAAGAGCTCTAACAGTGGGGTGACTCCACTCAGAAGTAGTTTTCAGCCAGTGGTCATAAAGGGTGATTTCATACTCTTCTCTGCCATTAAATGGATAAATTTGCCTTGCCTTCCTTCCTCACAAAGACTGAGAAGCAGAACTTTTTAGGACAGATTATAGAAGGTAACAGCAATGGAAAACCTGGGCACTGTCACCAGGAGCAAATGAAGAGAGTCACTAAGAGTGAGAGCTGCAAAAATTCCTGAAAAAGCTTTTTCATGTGAACTCCTGAGTTCCAATCTGTAGTTTCAGCAAGTGGGGATAAGATGCAAAACATCTGATTGCTTTCTGCAAATTAGACTTGCACCACCTAGAGTAGCTGAGATTCTACTGTTGCTAATAAGCATCTGCTTGTCACATCTGCAATGCTTCAGCATCCAAGTGCAGAGCTCAGAAAGAAGAGTCTGCACACATCCAGCACATCCATCTTTCTGCTGAGTCATTGAGATACATATCTATAGAAGAAACACAGGAACAAACCCCCCAAAAAACCCCGGGGGAAAGCTTCAAGAATGCGTCATCTCTTCTCTTCTGATTCTAAATTTGACTTGCTATTATTGATAGTACAATCTTCAAGTTCAGTTTCCAGTCACACAGGTACAAACCCAGAGTATTACCCAGGAAAGAGTCTAGCATCCACCTTAACTTCCCAACTGTCCTACCATGGCTCCCTGCATGAACAAAGGGCCCAAGGGAACAGTGCTCTATTTTAATAGTTGCTCTTGTATTTATTTCCACTGCTATGAAATTGGCTTTTAATTCACTTTCATTTCCTAAGCTATTTTTTAAATTTTTTTTTTTGTATAAATCTCATGTAGTGACCTACATCTGTCTGAAAATAAAAGGCACTCTTTGATTAGAGCTGGAATGCAGGATCATATACAGTGTATTTGGAAACCTCTGCAGAAAAAACCACGTCTGCTTTAATACATCTCGCTCGAGGCATCACGGGGTGAGGCAAGGACAACTGAGCAGTGTGCTTGAAAAAAAGGAAAAATAAAAAACCCTGCTTTTCTTTGCCAGTTAATGCATCAAGTTCAGTGCTATTTATGTGACTTTTGGAAGAGTTTGGGGTAAAAGTAATATATTTGTTGCCCTTCCTCTCTTTTAGGAGACTGCATAAATCCACCTGCAAAACTCTGTGTTTCTGGCACCTATAAGAATTAAACACTGTGGAAATTTTAACAGCTAGAATAACTTCATAGTAAATAGATCATGATATATATGGAATGGAGGTGAATTATATTTTTGATCATTTCCTTCAATCTTTTAGAGGAATAAAAAAAAACAAAGTTATTTTATAAATTAATCTTCACTATATTCTAAAAAAAACAACAGCACACAGTGCAATGTGCAATAAATGTTTCCATTAATTCTAGGACTGCAAATGTGTTTAGTTTGATGTGCTTCTATTTCAACTCTGACCCATTTTCCCCACATCTACTCACTTGATAAAATATTTGATTCCATCAGCTGTATAAGCTTCTTCCCATCCATAAGGCAGACCTAAGAGGAGATAAAGAAATAAGAAGTCTCTCAAAACTCAAGTGACACAGAGAACATAGTTTTGAGATGGTGTAAGTTACAATGCTGTCATTTCAAACAATGCCATATAATAATTGTAAATCAATTCCTACTTTTGTAACAGATAATAATATAAACAATACAATTCAACAAATACTTGCTGTGCCACAAAGCTACTAGTTTTGATGATACATTTACTACCAGATGATACTTTTTGGTATCATTTGATGACACTTCTATTACTAGAATTATGAATAATACTTTCAGTAGAGTACTATTCTATATTCCTTTAAAAATTACATTGTCCTAGCAAATCTTCACCTTTTAAATAACTGTTTGTTCAAAACTAACTCTTTGTAGGGTGTGAAAAATGCTGGAGAAAGAAGCATCAGTCACCGTGTAAAAATGCTCCCACTTTTGTGATACTGTACTGTAAAGTACATAATGGAAAGTGCAAGGTCCTGAAAAATCGTGGGTTTCTTGAGACTAGAAAATACATATTAATTTAAATATGCAAGAAAAATTGTTCTTGAAGTGTTTTGCCTGAAACTCATCTTGAAATGTTAGTGTCTTAGGAGTTAAACTATTTTTGTTCAAGTCCTAGTGTATCTCAAAGACCAGCTCATTAGAACCATCTGTGAGCCTGATTTTGGTTTAAAACTTTTATTTGGAAAATGTGCTGGCCTGCATGCACCATCTGAGCTTTGAAAGCTGCCTCTTCCCAAGAACTGCCCTAAGTGCACATTTATTTTTTAAAATTTCTTTTTCCAAAGGCTGATTTTCTTCTGTTGTCACACCTTTGTCTGTGGTGTGGTTCTTCTTAAAAGTCTGGAGAGGGCTAACTTCAGTTCTCCAGTATAAAGAGAGTTCATTACAGCCACAGAATCAGGACTGGGCACACTGCAGCTGGTACAAACCTCCTGGGAAGGAATTACACCTGTAGGCACCAAGCAAGGAGCAACAAGTAACCAAACTTCAGAAGTCAGGAAGGGAACTTGAGAACTGGAAACTAGAATGTCACAGCATTGTCACAGCACAGCTGGCCTGGACTGGTCAAGGTAAATCCAACCATAACACAAATCCAATTCAGCCAGCCTAGTTCATACCCAAACAAGTCCCCAGGTAAGTTACAGAGGGCTCAGCCAGCCCCATTCATGATTAGTAGGAAACACATCTGGGAAGGGATCTGGGCAGAGAGAGATCCCAGCCAATGATCCATCTAAGCCCAGGAGCTTTGGATGAACTGTATCAATGACCCCTGAACAATAAATGAGGCTGTTTGATGAGCATCTGGATCTCAAGTTGTGAATTTTGTCTCCCCACCCACGGCCGGCACACAGAACAGCACCACTGTCAGTCAGTACTGCTTGAAAAAGAAAAAAACCCCATTGGACTGATTTTTTTCCCTATCACTTTTACCCCCATTAGTCACTTATCTCAGGCTTCTTCCCATTTTCAGTTTAGAACAGATCTATACAATCTGTTCCTCAAAACACACCACCCACTACCTTTCAAAGAGAATAATCCACAGCTACTTCCCTTTAAACACAAGGTAGCTGCTGCGTAGCATTTCTCAGGCTCTTGACTCCATTATGAAGGGAGGAAGAAAAGGATGTTTTAGGGTATAAATATGCTAGACATGCTCACTGGTTCTTCCTTCCTCTCCCATGAAAGATGGAACCTTTATTCAGCATGGGTATTTTCTGATTATTTAAATGGCAATGGGATTCATCCCTCAGTTGCTTCCATCTGCCCTGCCCTTTCCTTTTTCCTGCATGAAACATGCATGTCCAAATAAATGACAAAGGATTTGCTCAATTATGAGTAAAAGCCCAGCATCTTCTCTGTACTCACATGGATCCCCTACATCACCTGTTTCATTTATCAGTGATAATTACAATTTTATCCACTGGTGATTTGATTAGAATTATGGCTTTTTTAACTCTTCTAAGTGAAGAACTGTACATGGGTAGCAACAACCAATGATTCTTCCCTTACCCACTGAACACTTCACTTTTCAAAAACACTGAATACATCTGTCACCTAGAAATGAAACTCTGGAAACACCTCCAGTGCTTTATTAGTCCTTCTGACTTAGTATGCATTAGATTGTGTATCCTATCCATTTTTCATATTCATCCACATTCCACCTACATCTATAGGTTTTTTAATGCTTCTGTTTTCCACATTTTTTTACTTGCTCTCCACTAGTTTTTCAGTGCTGCTCCCTTTATTACTTTCCTACCCTTTCAGATTTGTACTTCTATTTCTTCTATCTCCCCTGGTAGCTAGGAAGCTCTCATGTTTTGCTTTGTATTTCCCCAGACATCATTGCCACTTCCTCCAAGCTCACTGACTCCATGAATCATTCATAAGTTGATCTACTTCCTCCTGCTTTATTTTTTTCACACCCTCTAGGGTCAAATTTGTTGTCTGTCCCAGGACTTGCTTTGAAAGGCCGCTAAGCTCTCACCTGGAGTAAATGGGAGATAAAGGAGCTGAAAAAGTCAGAAAAACAGTCTGAAATATACAGGATTTAGCCTACATCGTCTCCAGCAATCTCAGATTTTCTGCATATTTATAATTTCTAGTGTGAACTGCTACACTCTCTTTGATGAATCTTCATAAATAATATATTTGGCTGCAGCTGTCTGCATAGATCATCTTAAGAAATTACAGATTTACAGTATTTAAAAACTAGTTCATTTCAGCAGAAAATACAGGGTTTCTTGCTATTCAGATACTTGTGACTATTTACCTTCTGCAAGGTAAAGAAAAGGTAAAACTACAAAAGCAATTGTGCATGCAAAAGGAACAGTGGTCTCCTGAGAGAGAGCACTTTAGTCAAAATACACAATAACTTACCTAAAGCGTTTTTTCTTACTATGTACATTTAATTAGGGTAAATGCCAAAGAAAAGTCTGTAATTCCCTGTGAAAAACACAACCAAGGAAGCAGTTGATGCTGTTTGTACCCCAGCACTGCTGCAGTCGGGCAGGGTCCCTGGGGACTGCTCCTCCTCCCCTGAGCTGCCTGCTGGGATAACCACTGCTCTGAGTTATAGAAATCTGAGAGGAAATGAAGCCCTGGGGCAAACAGAACCTTCCTGATCCCTGGTAAGTGTGGAACTCATCGATCTTTATCATCTCCTTAGCTTAACAGGACAAAACCTGCACAAGCACTGACATTGTGGGTCCCAGAAAAGAGATGAGCATCAGCCTGAATGCTAAACCTGTAGGAAGTGACAGATATTGAAGACTTTGCCTGCAGCTCCCAAGAGAGAAATGTGTGTGCTCTCCCTCAATAACAACACACATGGCATGATCCCTCAAGTCTCTAAGGAAAAAGGGGGAAATACAGGTATTAGGGGAAAAGCCTCATTTTCCTAAGCAGTTATCAAACCTAGAAAGTGCAGTAATGTGGTTGGGTGATTTCCCCACCCCCCAAATAATCTAGTTAAAAATTATTAAAGCAAAAGATACATGGAGATCAGCAGATGACAGCAGTAAAGCAGATACGACAGCAGAATATTCAGTTGACTCAAAACTGCAGTCCTGAAATCAAAATACTGCAGTCCAAAAATGCTCAATTTTGCTTATTTTTTCACAAAATTACTCAAAGGAAATGAGAGATTTAGAGCCTATCACAAGAATTGCTCAAAAAAAAATGCACTGTGCAATGGGATTCTATCTAGATTTGGCCTACTTAGATGCTTCAAGATAACTATGTCCTTAAGGGCTTTTGGCCTTGGGGCAAGAGTTTAAAACCCTGCTTCCATTACAAGCAGGCACCAAACACCTCTGATGAATCTGGAAGGAGTGGTTAGGGACAACTGCCTCCCAAAGGTCCTAATCTCACCCTAAGTGCTCTTTTGTGAAACACAAACTTATTTCCAGCATTGTTCACACCTTTGTTATCAACCATTAAAAGGGTCTGTGGCTGCAATTCCCTTCCTGTTATGGGTAAACAGCCAGTATCTGGAATTAATATAAAGTTTAAGGGATGTAGTATCTATCTGGAATGCTAAAGCCACACTGTACACATATTCTGTTTCACAATGAACCATTCTTTGATCAACAATAGAAATAAGCATGTCTTTGTTACATATCCTTTTATGACTTTTCCAGCTGTGCATATCTTTTTTACATACAAAGAGTACAGGCCAGCTCATACCCTTTATCTCCTGATAATTTATTTGTATTTAGTATCAGTCTCAGAAATGATGGGGTTTTTTAAGAAACAAGAATTACCTGCTAAAAGAGTTTCTGATACAGAAGATTTGCTGAAGGACATTAAAACCAGTTTTCCCTGTCACTTGATAAATGTGCTTTTGAATTCTGATCTATTTCAGCTCTTATCAACATTTAAACCTTCCTCCAGTGGCTTCAATAATAAAGGAAAAGGTGATAATTAAGATCCCAAATGCCTTTGGCTCTTCCTTTCTGAGCTATTTAAGCAAAGAGGATGAAAGCTGAAGGTCTGATTTGATGGTTTAAATTGCCTGGTTTTGGATGCCTGAGCGCTACTGGAATATGGGAATATCCCAGAGATGACACCAGACTTATCATGGTGTGAGACCAGCAAAGGAAAACCTCTGTGACTTACATATTTTGACACAGCTAAAGCAAAAATCTGTGGAGAAATATCCACCCTTGTTTGTCCAGAGTGTTCAGCGGGGTGTACACACAAAATGGACTTTTATTTTTTTTTGGGCTATCAATAATATAAGCTGTATTTTGCTGCTTTTTTGTGAATTAAATTATAAACACTCATGTTCAGGAAAAAGCTTTCAGAAGTGAATATGCACTTCTGGCATTTGCTTGTGTGTCACTTTAGATCATTTCAAGTGCTCTTCCCAAAACCAAATATGCTTCCTTTCATAAATAATACTCTGCTGAGGGGACATTCCATTCCTTTTTTTTTTTTTTCACATATCAAATTCCATTTTAAATAAATCATTCTTTTCTTTTGTTGTTGGTCAC